GGAAAAATGAGGACCTAATGTCGGGGGTTTAAATGGAGAGAAAATGTTTTGAGAAATGATGTACAAATACGCTTTACACAATTCATGTGTGTATGGATTGGGATAACAGTTGTATAAGCCCCTAATAAAATGTTTAAAAAAAAAAAAAGAAAGGTAGAAAGAAAGATAGAAGGGAGAAAACTAGAAATAAAATGTCAGTCAACTACAAAAAAAAAAAATCTAAAGAAATGACCTCACTGACTGTAGGTAGAGAACATTTCAAAGTGCGTGAATAGTGTGATTCATTATGTTGATAACAACTTAAAAGTTAAGTAAACTTGCCTTAAAGGCAAGCCAGTAACTGTTTGTGGACCCGATGGCCCCAACCACCGAATTGTGGTGTTTAAAGGCAAATGCGACCATAGACGATTCAAAAACAATGGGCAGGGCTGGTTTCCGATCACCTCTGTTTCTAAAAAGCATGTCATGAGCAGGTAGACAGTAGATTTCTGATCCCTGTTGTAGGTACTGGTATTTGTTCAAACTGAGGCATGACAGAAGGCAGTTGTGCGTTAAAATGTTGAGAATATCAAAAAGACTTGTATAAGAATATCTGTACTGGTCTTACTAATAGCCAAATTTTAGAAAAGCCCAGCTATCCGTTAACAGGATGCGCTGCGGTGCTGTCCTGCAGCAGACTACCACTCAGCACTGAAAACGAAGCACAGAGCACATGAGCCGCGGGGGCTGACTGGTGGGTAGACATGATGTTTACTGGGTGACCACTTACGTGAGTGGGCCGGGCGTTGTAAATGACCAGAAAGGGGCTGGGGGTGGGGTATCAATTACAGAATGTGCTCTGTGTTTAAAGTGGTGGTTACATAGATGTGTACCAGTTAGCTGAACTTTTTGCAGTCCACAATTTAGACACCGCCTCTATAGCTTACATGCTGATGAGTTTGTAAAATGGTTGGTTGCCTTTTTTTTTTTTTTTTTTTTGACAAGGTGGAGGGTCCAGAATATGCAGAACTTGTTGCTCTTAATGATGCAGTTTATCAGCAGTCTGTTTCCTGGTTTGCTGCTCAGGATGATGAAACAAAAGAAGAGATTATCAATTATTTTGGGTCAATGCCAGACAAGGAACCTGAGCCCCAGGTACACTTTCTGCATGTGTTTTTCCTAATTGTATCATTTGCTGCTGTAGCAAGCTGAGACCAATGTGGAGAACCCGACAGCACCGCATGTTAGCTTCCCTTAAGAACAAATCTTAAAACACCTTCTGACTCATGGTACATAGGAAAATTGATTCTGAGTGACTGCCAACTTTAACTTATCTCACTAATATTGTAAGCAGAGTTGTTAGATGGTAAGTGTAGCATGCTGGCATGAACACATCTGTGTCTCACACATAATAAATAGGCGTTGACTTACCCCATAGTGAATGATGGGGGGAGTGCAGAGTGGAGACCCAAAGCCCATTAGTAAGCCACTGGAGATCCCCTTGAAGAGAGGGGTCTCGGGGAGGAGACGAGCCAGTCAGGGTAATGTAGCAATGATGAAAAATTAAGGGTACGATGTAGCAATGATGAAAAATAAAACTTTCCTCTAGTTCCTAAATGTTTCCTCCCCACTCCCACTATCATGACACAAATTCTACCTTGCAAGTCTGGCTAGACCAGAGGATGACACTGGTACAGATAGGAACTGGAAATACAGGGAATCCAGGGCAGATGAGCCCTACAGGACTAGTGGTGTGAGTGGCGATACAGGGAGGGTAGAGGGAGAGTGGGTAGGAAAGAGGGAACAGGTTACAAGGAACTATATGTAACCTCCTCCCTGGGGGATAGACAACTGAAAAGAGAACCTTCCGAGGTGATCACTGGGTGCTAACAGTTGCTCGATGTTCACCTAGTGGGAAAAAATGTACTGCGAAAGCTTTGCCCAGTGGAGCTTTTTTCTGGTGTTTGTTTGTGGAGGTGGGGGTAACCCCTCATACTTGTCTTACAAGAATGTATATTATATACATTTGTCACATTACATTTATTGTGTATGTACATACATTTAGGCTTATAATAGTATGCTTTTAGAAAACATGTTTATAACTTAAAACAGTAACAACATTGGAGTGTAGAAGTAAAAATTAAGGTCCCTTTTGGCTGTGATGGGACCCCTGGTAATTTAGTGGTTATGTGTTGGGCTGCAATCCACAAGGTGGTCAGCTGGAGACCACCAGAGGCTCCGAGGGAGAAAGAGGCTCTGTACTCCCATAAACCATCTCCGACACTCACAAGGGGCAGTTCTGTCCTCTTGTCCTGTAGGGCCTCTATGAGTCAGAATGGACATGATGGGGTGGGTTTGGTTGGTTTCTTTGCATGTCTGGCTGTGATAGACTGTCTTAACTAGAGCCTTGAGAGATGAGAAGCAACAGGTTCCTCAACACTCCCTGGGAAGGTGTTTTTCTCTACAAGCTTTTCCTTTTCCCAGTTGCCTACCTTTCAACATTTAGCATAAAAGTAACCTGGCATTTTTGCCGGGGGCTGAGTGTGTTGTGAAGCAGACCTGAAAGAGAAGGTGGCATTTCATTCTTGCTCATCTGTCAGTTAAACTGCAGACTGTATGAGACGTGGAGAGGCATGTATTTCAAGCAGTGTTTGTAATACTGTGTCTCATTTTACAGAGTAATCCTTGTGGTCCCGCATGGGCCTGGTGGGTCCTGCAAGTGTTGCCAGTCGAACAAAAAACTCAGCAGCTTATCCTGTGCATGACCTCGCTGAAGGACCGCCTGCTCGCCCTCCAAAGTGCACTGGTTGTATGTGAGGAAACCAGACTGGAAGAACTGGGCAAGATCAGCTAGAGAAGTCACGGATTTTCTCTCTGAAGGCTGCCTGCCGCCCCTCTACTTTGTTGCCTTGGTTAGCAGGCATCCCACCTGTCACATGTTTTTTGATAGCATTACGAAATGGAGTGTTGACTCGGACTCGAAAGTTAAGACTAAATCTTGGGGAATTTTGACCGTCTCACTAGTTTAGCCTGAAATTTGAAGCCTTTGGTTGGAAAACAACAGAAGGACATCTCTTCCGAGATGATGCTTCTGGCTTTCTGGTCACTTAAAAGCACTGACCTGAACAGCAGCCATAGTTTGCATGGGCTTCCTGTTTTTTGGGAAAGAACGTTTTTCACTGTAGAGGATCCTGTTGTTCCAAATGGAAACAGCATTTTCTGGTGAGTCAGTGAAAGGGAAGCCACATTTTTCATCTGAACGCGTGCTTCTCAGAGCACAGCCTAATAGGTTCTTAGTCTCCCTCACTGAGACGTTATCTGCAAAGTTGAGAAATCAAACCATTGTCCAGTGCAGGACTGTTCTGTTCTGTTGCCCAAAAAGTCATAGTTACTGAGTAGGAACTGTATTTAGAATCCTGTCGAGGTCTCGGGTGCTGTGAAGTTGCATGTTATTATCCAAATAAGTGTCCAAGTACAAAAAAGTGGGCCTTGGATGAAGGAATAGGGTAGTTAACTTGAAGGCAAATATTTGCACATTGTACCATGTGAGCAGACGTGAGTTAATGCTATAAAATACCTGGGATGACACACACAAGTCATTCCAACACTCTTGAGTGATTTCCTTGATCCACTGATACTAGACATTTACAAGACACTAACTTTTTATACCAGTATTTGCATTTGAAATGAGACCCATCAGTAAATTTGAGCTTGTCATTCTTATATGTGAAGAGGAGTAAACACTGCTGTGGAATGGGACTCATCTTTTCCCAGGAAAATAAACCCCAAAAGGTGTACTAAGCGAAGGGTGACTGGTATAAGCTAGAAATAGATTCAGCAGTCTGGTTCAACACCAACCTAAAAATGGGTTTTTCTTTCTTAACAAGTTTTATGACTATCAGAACAAACTCTGGGTATAAATTCCAATCTTTAATGAGTAATGTTCATAATCCGCTAGATAGACTTTCCGCCTGAGGTTCCTGAACCATTCTGACTGGCTTAGCCAGAAGGTCCTTGTGGTTGGATTGTGGGTCTTGGAGAAGGATGTTCTTAGCTCAAAAGAAGACAGTCAAGAATGTTAACGTGTATTTTATCCCTTCACGGTGGATGGTTTTTTAATTTGTAAACGTATTTCCTAGTACTACATGTTGGCGGCTTGTCAGTCCATTAAGTATACTAGTGGGTGTTATAATCGCGTTACTCTTTGTCAGTTGTTTTTTCTATAGCTCCAACTCCATTGTGGGAGTTAGAAAACAATCTAATAATCATAAAGAGAAAATGTGAAAGCATTTCCTAATCAAAAAATGTCAAGTGCCTCACTTTGTCTGAATCTCAGACCTCATGTTTAGGATGGCTTGAAAGCAGTAAAGTGATTTCTGAAGGATTGAATGATAGGAAACCCTGATCCTCACAAAGAAGTTCAGACTGCCCTGAAGATGCCAGAAGGCCTTTATTAGAAGTGGCTTGTGGAAACTGATATGGGTTGGGAAATTGTTTTTCCCCCTTACATCTGTATTCAGATAGCTGGGATCCCCATTCCTCTTTGGGTGTCTGATTAACCTCAGTGTGTCACAGCTCCTCCTCCAGCCTTCCTGGAGCTATGTTGTTTCTGTGCTTGAAGTGCGAAGAAGATTCCCTGTCTTGGGGCTTTCTGTGAACACTGAACTTTTTAAGTTCTTAGAACCAGAAGCACTCCCTTCCTGCTTCTATCTACCTCTTCCTGCGTCTTCTCCTTTGGAAGCCTGTGACAGTAGCTGCCTCTGTTCTCTGCTGGTTTTTGTGTTTCGTGCAAAGGAAATCTCTGTCCTGGTGGGACAGGGGAGTGAATTGCTAGGCACTTTCTGAGCACTTTGATCACATTTTTCAGGAAACCACCAAACTGGTGATAAGCCACAGTGTTTAGAAAGGAGAGCCTCCTTCTGACATCCTTCAAGAAAAAAAAGGAACCCAGACACTGTTTGTTACAGAACCAGCTAACACAGAAGAGCCTCCTGTCTGGCTCTCGTTTCAGGGAAGTCATTCCTAGGGCTATCTCAGAAATCCATGCAGCCCCTCATTCAGAGCCAGGGCAAGGTAGCTTCATTTTACTGGATGGAAGTGTTCTAACATGAACACTTTAGTTACATCAGAACAAGCACGGAATCTAATAATAGTCGTGTGTTAGTGCTTTGTTATATCTCACAGCTGATAGTAGTCTGTCGGTGTTTCTCTGTCGATGCCCAAGTGGCTTGACCCAGAATCCCAACCTGCCCATGGCTGCAGCCATGGACTGGCTCTGCAACCGTGACCAAGGGTGTTTGGCACATGGGACTTTGAAACACCGCCTTAAGTGTGTCTGCCCTACTTTTCAGAATTGAACATCTGAGTACTGTCTGGAGTCCCCACAAGGAAGCAGACTGTCACAATTAAGACCCATCTTCATGGTTACCAGGTGGTTCGCCAAATCTCGCAGCGCTGTCCCACAGCGGGCTGTTTCTAGGACCACAAAAGTGCCCTCTGTCGGTACCACCCCCCCTCTGAAAAAGGGCAGAGACCCACCAAGACCATTTAACTAAGTTGTGAACTCGGTTCCTAAGTATGTCAGGCCTTGCTCACTCATCTTTTGATCCTCAGGAAAGTGTTAAACTTACAGATTCAAATCTTCCATTTTTATTTAGTGTAATCAGCTCTGACTAACCTAAAGAACTCATCTACCTAGCTGTGTTCCTTAGAACTCAATAGGATTCTTAACGTTGCCCTTGTAAGAAGTACTCCTCTGTTTTCCCTTTGTGTCTTCCCCCCCCCCGTAAAGTATTTGGGTAACTACCACTCCTTAAAATTAACCTGAGGAAAAAAGTGTGAAGGCTACAGGAGAAAATAAGGGCAAGCTTGAAGAAAATGTGGGGGTGTGGTTTAGAGACTCGGTTTTGTTTTGGCCACGGGGTACAGATAGGGAGAACTCCGTCCTTGGTTGTCACCACCCCGTGTGATCCTGTGAGCTGGCCCGGGAGAGCTCATTCTGAGTCCTAGTCTGGGGGAAAAGGGTCTTTTCACCTAAATGCTCTCCCTTTTAACTCAGCAGTCACATCACAATTTACCTGCTAACAAATGTCACCAAAGTCCACCCAGACCTTTACAACAAGCTTAACAGTGATTCTGCTCTTAGGAGACTCTGGGTGTTTGAATACTGCCATAGGATAAGAGAACCAGGAAATTAAAATGCTACCATTGCACTTGGCAGAATTGGATGTGAGCTCATTTGAGCAGCATCCAGAAAAATTTGACTAGATGTTTTTCGGCTAAGGTGCATGTGTGGGGCAGCACTGTACCCCTCTGCTCATGTGCATGCTGCAGCTCAGCAGTGGGGCCACCTGTCCTCAGCAGAGGAGCGGCACTATAGAGCCCAATGAGCCCTGTGTGGCTCCTTTGGCTTTAGGCCAACTCCCTGCCCCCTTCAGCCAAGTAGATGGCCATGAGGCCTGAATAAAAACAGATTAGCACTATGTTCACCTAAGTCATGGTCTGGTTTGGCAAATGAGGCTTTTTAAGGAAAAGTTGACAAGGAAATGCCTGACCTTTTGCTGTTAGTGGGGGGTGGGGTGTTGTAAAACATGGGGACCTTTGTGATTCACCATGCTGTTTTAACAATTTTGTCATGTATACTGTTCTCAGTTGGATCAGTGACTGACTGGAAGGAAAAGTGTAATAGGTTTGAAAGCTGTACTATCTGCCTATTGTTTTCAAGTTAGTGGAGGTGGTATTTCGCTGTTGATGGGTGCCATTCAAGATTATTGTGATTTGGAGGGAGGTCAGTTTTTCTCCTTACATGATAATTTGAGGCGTAGACTTGAAACAAACGGATGTCGAAACCCTTAAAAGTCAAGCCTTTACTTGTTTGGAAATAAGGCTGTGTTATCTGTGTAATTGTTCATCTGGCCTTCTATTTACTAAATTCCAGTCAGGATTCAGGATGCAACAACAATAGTTGGCATTTCTATTTGTTTGGGTGAGGGCACACTTAAATGTTGCAAAGTTTATTTCGTGTATTGTACTACTGTTCATTATAATTGGAATTGTTATCTAACTTTGTATTTGGAATAAATAAAATTTCTAACGTTTGTGTTTTTTATTTTCTTAATCGCACTAAAATCGGGTAAAAGGACTGAAAATTAGATCACATTGTAGGATGTGGAACTCTTTATTTCAGGAGCACACAATGAAAGGCAGTTGGCTGATTTTTAAGTACTGTTTCACTGCAGGCAGATAAAAGGGGCCTTCAGAACATCCATGGAAAATGGATTTAAAATATCCTGTAAGTTCCACAGGCTGGAACTCCTACCCTAAGCACACCCCTGATGTCATAGGAACGGAAGGTAGTATAATGGTGTTTTTTTAGAATTTTGAGGTAAATTAAAAGACGATCTACTCAAAAATACATTTTTAAAGTGGTTTTGATTAACTCCCCATACCTTTATCATACTTTTTTTCTTCCATGTTTGTGGCTGCAGACTGTTCGCCTGTACCCATGATAATTTTATGTCTTTAAAGACAATGAAAATTTTTTTCTTTCAACTTTACTGTCATTAATAGCTAGTAGGAGATAAAAGGCATCGATATTTGGTTCCGGTCCTCACATACAGGTTAATTTCAAGCGCAACACATGCTGGAGTCTGTCATCACTTGCATCAAGACTGAGCAGATGAACTGCTTGGCTGCTTCTCAGCAGATACTATCATGGGGTTGACCACTGTTTAGATCGTGTCCTGGGGAGGCCTGGCCCCCCTCAGGTCGATAACCACCGTGGGGTATGAAAATAATATATATTGAAGTGTTTACCTGAAAATAGTTTTTTGGGGGCATCGAAAGAAACAAGACTGCTTTATAGACTATTCCTATAACCACTTAAATTCGTTTTTAACAACTGAAGGAATTTCTCAGACCTACTGGTTTGCTGGAGAATTGTATTGAGCATTTAAAGAAGAATTAGTAATAATCTATTCCAGCAAACAGGATAAATCACTTCTCATTATGAAACAATATTACCTGGAAGCTAAAGTAAGACAAAATGAATTATGTGCAATTCTCAAGATGTTGAATATCAAACCCTTCAGCTATTACCAAGCCAAATCTAGCAAATTACTTTTTTAAAAACATGTAAGACTTTCAGCAATTGGAAATTAGTTAATCCACCATACCAATAGACTGAAAAATCAATTGACGGAAAAAAACTTTTACAAAATCAAGCATTTGTGTTAAAAGCCAGGAACAAACCAGATAAAGGTTAGGTTCAGAAAACCCCCCAGTGAAGTTCCTACTATCTGGTAGAACAGTGATGCTCTCCTACAAACAGCAGGAATGAGGCAAGAGTGCTGCTGTCACACTTAACAGTACTAGAAGCTTTAGCTACAGCAATAAAGCATGAAACAAGTAGGACCGCGATTCCCCCACTTTAAAGTTTTTCATTGGCATGTAATTCATATATTTCAATAGTGCAGTCATACTGAGTTCTATCACATTAGAATGTTTTGTCATTGGTGCCCATCTCCCTGCAACCACCCTGCCATACCCCCACAAGAAACCACTAGTGCAGTCACTGTCCATAGCTTTACTTATCCTGGATTTGGTATCCAGAAATCAACACCCAAAATTAACCCTCGATGGGTCAAAAGGGCCATCCCTTTCTTGAACCAGGCACCTTCTAGGGCAGCAGTTCTCAACCTGTAGGTTGCGACCCCTTTGGGGTTGGCTCAAATGACCCTTTCACAGGGGTTGCCTAAGACCATTGAAAAAAACATTCCCAATGGTTTTGTGAATCGAGACCCTGCTCCTGTGTCTCCAGGCAGGTCCGCCCACATGCAGATACGCCCACCTGAGTATGTGGCGTGAAGACTTACCCATGCTACACCATGCTTCAAGACAAAATTTCATTTATTTGTAACTAGAAATTAAAATTTTACAATACATAATATACTGTTTTTGAGATCCATCACTATGCTTTAATTTGTAACAATGAAAGTACACCCTGCATAACAGTAGTAAAATTACAGTTACGAAATAGCAACGAATATAATTTTATGGTTGGGGGTCACCACAACCTGAGGAACTGTATGAAAGAGGCGCAGCGTTAGGTTGAGAACTACTGTCCTAATGTGATGAGAACATTCCCCAGGGGAGTTGGTGATCACCCTTTTGGCTGGAAGATTCTCATTGAACCCTGTCATTTGGAACAAAAGCCCTGAAAACCTGGTTTCCATGACACAGGATTCTGGGGACATCATGCCAACGTCGGCTCGCCTGCCCTCTGACACATGCCTGAAGAGATCGGGACCCTCTGGAAGTTTTTCAGAGCATTGCCTGAATCCCCTATATTACTGATGACATGGTAGTCAAACTGGTGAGCCAAAGGTGGCCAGTGCACTGGAAGAATATGTAAATACAACCCACCCAGAGAATGGGAGCTACACCATAGACGCAGGCTTTGCCACGTCAGTATAAACAGGAAGGGCCCAGAGAATGCAGGACATTCCACCCAAAGTAAAGTGATTGCGTCTTACACCTTCCACTGTAAAGGAAAAAGCACCCTGTGTTGTAAGCCTCTTCCGGCTTCAGAGGCAGCACAGCAGAGGCCTTCTGCTCTGGCCTGCATGGCAGCTGGAGGGAGACAGAATCCGAGGGAATTCTGCCTCAGCTCATGCCGCTTGCTTTTTCCCTCATCGTGTCTTCATTGACTTGTGTCATGTGGGGAAAAACCCAGCTTTTGGTGGGCCACAGCAGGATCAGGAGAAGTGGGGACTCACTGGAGGTGCAGTGCTGTCGTGAGGTCAGGATGGTTTGGCAATAGAATCGCTTGGAATGGTGCAGTGGTTCAATAGCTTGCCTGTGAGAGTGGAGACCTGGTGGTCTGCTTCTGAAGATGTAGCTACTGAAAGTCCTTCAGACATAGAGATTCTTTCTTAGATCTATGTAAGTGATGCGGATCTGTGGGGCTCTTGTTAAACGGTAGATTCTGATCCAGTCTCTGGGGTGGAAATATAAATTCTCAGCAGAGGGTTGTGCCAGAAATGACCTGGTTCAGAGTCCTTTAGCCTCCTTTTAGTCCAGGCTGGTTTTTCCCCTGGTCAGTCTTAGACAGGTTTAATGCTTTTACTGGGGAAATGGTCAGAACGATTTTGAAGAAATATTCATCCTGACTGTAAACCCCTGGAGCAGCGGTTCTTAACTTGTGGGTCCCAACCCCTTTGGGGGGTCAAACAGCCCTTTCACAGGGGTCGCCCAATTCTTAACAGTAGCAAAATTACAGTGATGAAGTAGAAATGAAAATAATTTTATGGTTGGGGCCACCACTGCATGAGGACTTGTATGAAAGGGTCGCAGCACTAGGATGGTAGAGAACCACTGCCCTAAAACATTGGATATTCCTTTTGTACCTCACATCATGACCAACACAGTCTCATCCACATGGTTGTAACATATAGAATAAATCAGTGCACGTAGGACTGAACAAGTTACAAGTTTTAAATACAATTTTTGAGGGACTTGAATGTTAAGAGCATTACATATATTGAATCCCTTATTCATACCAACTTCATTAAAGTGCCATTGTTGGGTGCTGTAAGTTGGCACTGATTCTTAATGACAGTACAGACAACAGAACCTAACACTGCCTGGCCCTGTACCATCCTCACAATTACTGTTCTGTTAGAACCCACGGTTGCAGTCACTGTGTCAGTCCCGCATAGTGAGAATCTTTCTCATTTCTGCTGACCCATAATGTCCTTCTCTAGGGATTGTTCTCTTCTGATAATGTGTCCCAGGTGCATGAGATGGAAGCCTCATTATCTTCACTTCTAAGAAGCATCCTGGTTTTATTTTCTCCAAGACAGATTTGTTTGGTGTTCTGGCAGTCTGTGGTATATTCAGTATTCAAAATGCTATAATTCAAAAGCATCAATACATCTGTGGCTTTCCTTATTCATTGTCCAGCTTCTATAGGTGTGTGAGGCACTTGAAAAATACTATGGATTGAGTAAGGCGCATTTAAGTCTTCAAAGTGACATATTTGTTCTTCAACACTTTAAAGAAGTCACAGGCAGTAGATTTGACCAATGTTGTTTCTTTTTTTTTTTTCAAATCATTTTATTGGGGGCTCTTTCAGCTCTTATCACCATCCATCCATTGTGTCAAGCACATTTGTACATATGTTGTCATCATTCTCAAAACATTTTCTTTCTACTGGAGCACTTTGTATCAGTTCCTCATTCCCCCCCTCCTATCCTCCCTCCCTCATGAACCCTTGATAACTTATAAGTTTTTGTTCATGTCTTACACCAACTGTTGTCTCCCTTCATACTTCTCCCTCCCCATAAGTGTTGATTGTAGATTCAAGTAAAATTAAATGTTTTCTCCATTATCATGATTTTGTGTATTGGTCAAGTTGTATTTTGGGTTTCTTTATATTGTTGTGACCCATATTGAAGGCCTCGTGCCTTGGTCTTCATCAGCAGTGCATCAAGTTCTTCACTGCCAACCAGCAAGACCGTGCCATCTGCAGATCCAAGGTTGTTAATGAATCTTCCCGATTCTGATGCCACATTATGCTTCACAGAGTTGTTTCCAAATTACTGACTCAGCATACAGATTAAGTATGTTTAAGGGCATAACCCTGTCTTGCACCTTTCCTGATTTTAAAACATTCAGATTCCCCTTGTTCTGTTCCAACAACTGCCTCTTAGTGTAGGTTCCAGATGAGCACAATGAAAGTGGTCCAGGATTTGTGTTCTTATGATCCACACTGTAAAATACCTACGCATAACCAATAAAAGACAAGTCAACATATTTCTTGTATACACTGCTTTCAGCCAAGATCTGTCTGACATCATCAATGACGTCCTTCATACTATACCCTCTTCTGAATCTCGTTTGAATTTCTGGAAGCTCTCTGTGGATGTGCTGCTTGCCATGGTTGTTGAATTTTCCTCAGCAGAATTTTATTTCAGTGATAATTTCTACATTCTATCGAATCCCTTTAAAATAGGCATGAGTTAGGACGGGTTCTTTAAAGAAGCAAAATCATCTGTACCTCTACATAAGTATTCTTTATATATACGTAAATAT